AAGACCATTTATTGCACTTACTAGTTTCCGACAAAAGCTTGCGCAGGTTTTTAAAGTAATAGAGGATCTATTAAGCGTTTGTTGTGTATCCGTCTTGCAGAACGAAAATGATGCAAATCCTAGATTTCTTTGAATTATTTGACTATAACTAATGTCTATATTCACATCATACCCGTACAATGTCCAGACTTATTTAAACCATTCAGATTGAAGGTGACAATATAAGATGTTATTTCATCGAAAGGATAAACGAGCAAGGTTACACGGAGATTGAATCCGCTTGGGAACCCGGACTATTCCTTGGTACGGTAGCTCAACAATCAAGTGGTGTTCATCTATCCTAATTTTTCCAGGTTTTAACAGTCGTGGACGTTTCCAAGATCCATCCACATATGAGAAAAAACGAAAGTGCTTCTACTGGACAAAACTACAACGATTCGTGCCAAACTCGGAGCTACATCGATGTGCACGACAGCAGAAGAAGAAATTGAATCACAATTTAACAATGCCCAACGAGAGTTTTCTGCGTAACATAATGCGTGCATCGCTCTTGCAGAAAATTCGAGCCACTGATGATGGACCTTATAATATAAAAAATTTTACCATGTTGTAAGATACTCTTTTTCAAAGCTTCTACAATCATTATTGCATATCTCAGTCACGGAGCTCAACAAATTTTAATTTGAAGACTTAATTTTTGATGCCTCATAAGCAAAACTTTATAGTAATTATTTTATGTTGTGACCTGTGTTGTGGTAATTTTTTTATGTTCTTTTTTGCATTATCTGCTCATATGATTAATTTTCCTCTCAATCTCCTTTCAGGCTTTTGCTACATTCTCCATTTATAGGCATTTTATCACTAACTTTATCCTTCTGTTCTCATTTACCGTTTGTTTTGTATCAAATTCAGTGAATGCACTTTGCTCAGATGTTTTTTGCCTTACATGCATTTCTTTACAGATAAAATAAAAGTCAAAGTATATTGTACAGTTTTTACTCATGTAAAGCTTGCAAGCCGCATGGGAAATTCTAGAAAAGACACAAAATGACGAAATTAGCAAAAAAATCGAGTCATGAGTTAGCCTACAACCCCGCAAAGTTTTATTTCCAAATGCTAATGGTTTCTTGAATGTTTGTAAATGGCTACAGTTTTTTAAGGATTTCGTTCATGAAGATGTTGGGGCTTTGCTTGTTTTTGAAAAAAAAAACAGCTGCATTCAGGGACAGATTTGCAGTTTGTTTTGC